TTTTTTTTTCTGGTTTATTTCGTACTGCAGGACCAGCCCGTGCCTTGGCGATTTATCCCCTTCAATCTCGCACCAGAGGAAAAGACGTTGGTCTCTATGGCAACCCACCAGGTATCCTAGGCTACGTAAGGCCAGCGGTGGGCCCTGATGGACGACCTAGAACATCCTACCAGTTCTATGGCCGTAGAAACAGCTACATCCGCTTTCCAAATCGCGGTCGTTTGGATGCGCAAAATGCAATCACGTTACTTGCATGGCTTTACCCAGAGGGCCCGGGACCAATCTTCAGATACGGTGTTGATTTCTCCGTCGGTAGGGGGCGTAGTTTGTCGCTGCAAATCTTCCCGCGTGGATCGCAAAACACCATAATTCGCCCCCTGACTGCGCGCGGCGTTCTGCGATATCGCACGTGGCAGTTTGTAGGCGCTAGCTATGAAAAAAGAACTGGGCAAACGAAGATTTACGTGAACGGAAGGCTTGTTTCTCGTAACCGGCTAAGAAGGGTTCGTCTTGGGACCAATATTCCTGCAACAATGGGAGCTGGAGGTGGTAGATATTTCCGCGGTAGAATCTCCTGTATGCAGGTTTATGGACGTGTCTTGACAAGATGGCAGATCATCAAGCGAAAGAGAAGGTGCTTTAAAGGTGAATGAAGTCGTTATTTCTATGAATTAAAGCCAGTTGTTTGTTACTCCTTTTTTCTGATAGGGTAATAAGGAAATTAATTAACAAAAATAGTTTTTAATCCAGCGTGGAAGCGCTGCCAGGATTCAGCGTGGCCGAATGGTTAGGGCACCGGACTTGAAATCCGGAGGTCGCAGGTAAGTCCCCTTAGGACCACTAGCTGGTGGTGTTCTCAGTAGTCCCGAGTTATGCCCCTCGGCCACGCTTGTAAATAGCCAACTAATCCACCTCCTGCCAGTTGAGATTTTTAACCAAGTTATGTTCATTTACATTGTATTTGTTTCATCATTTGTTTCCATTGGCCCTGAAAAACCCCATTTGGGGAGTGGTCAATTAGAATATTAATTTTTATTAATTTTTATCCATGTGAGTTTGCATCGGATGTTCGGGCATTTTTTAACTAGAACTTATTGCTGAATGTAACGGTACCCATGCCCTAAAAGAAATTCAAAACATTTTCTGCTTGCATTCCTGTACACACCACATACCTTTACTCACATTGCATTGTAA